AGTGCCTTACTAGTAGTAACAAGAAGCTACTAGGAACAAGTGCCTTACTAGTAGTAACAAGAAGCTACTAGGAACAAGTGCCTTACTAGTAGTAACAAGAAGCTACTAGGAACAAGTGCTTACTAGTAGTAACAAGGAGCTACTAGGAACAAGTGCCTTACTAGTAGTAACAAGAAGCTACTAGGAGCAAGTGCCTTGCTAGTAGTAACAAGAAGCTACTAGGAACAAGTGCCTTACTAGTAGTAACAAGAAGCTATTAGTAACTTTGTGACTTTGTGTACTGATCACATCACAAAGCCCAGCCTCGGAGAGGAGACTTACACGAAAATTCCCAAGGTCTGAAAGCATTGACCAGCTGAGAAACTTTGGCGTGCTGAGAAACCGTTCTGAGCTTTTTGTGGTTTGCAAATCTGTCAGGTTTGGATTTGTGGTTTGGGTGCCAAGAAATGGATGCAAAAGGTGACATGTAGGGTCCTGTCAGGTTTTGCCCTGCAGTGTTGAGGTGTTTGTCATTGTCAGGGCAACTGCTTCTGTCTCCTCTCTGATCCGGCACACATGAGAAACCAGGCACAAATGAGGGTGCAGATTCTACAAGTGGCTATGGCTCAAAAATTGTCACGAAAAATAAGGAGAAAAACCTGCATCCCACGTTTTTGAGCCATATCCAAATACAATTTCTCGCATTTTCGGCTTGAGACATGCGCAAAGCGTACGGACGTGAGTCCGAGCTTGTTAAATGCCCTTCAAACCTAACCAGGTAAGGAGGAAGGCATTCAACACTTTGGCGCAGTCCTTGAACTTGGCAGGATTTGTCTGCTTAGCAGGACTCACCTGACATCTAAGCATAAGCTTGTCCTTGGGACAGGGTCCAGCTTCAATAGGCATTCCCCTCTGCCACATGCGGCTCTATATGTAGAAAAGGCATCAAAGCTGGCATACTCCCAAAATGATTTGGAGAGCACGCGGCAATCTATCTTCTCACCTTCATCGACCTAACTGCGTCGCGATTGCAACACGCAGGGGGATGCGTTCTTTAGCTGCCAAAAACCACCATCAAAGCATGCCTAAGCTCCCGGTGTATCTCAGAACCCTCAAGATCTTGACCATTGAAACTCAATAGGGCAGGGGCTGGCTGAAGCTCACTTCTGTGCTCAGCGCATGTTCTGGACAAGGAAAAGACATTGTACATCGAGCAAACTCCCACTTGTCACATGCTCTGAACAAGCCAAGAAATGGAAAAGCCAAGCGAAGCGAAGGGTCTTTTTGCTCACAAAACTAGCGTGGATTGGCAACTACTGGTATGTGTAGTGTAATGCGACTCAGTATTTTTTGCCAAGGAAGAACACTCGGAAGAACATTGCTGCCATGCACCTTCGATCGTACTGGAAATGGCAAAGGCGCTTCTGGTGTTGGGAGAGCACGGTCACCTTGTGACCAAGGCGGCCAAGGAACGCACTGAGCTGAAAGTTGGGCAGGCTTCAAAATACTCAAGCACTTGTCTGGATGGTAACTTGTTGCAAACTGCACTCTTCCGTGAATCACCAGCAACCCTTGGCCACTCTGTTGATAAAATCATCCCTTGGACCCCGCTGGAAACTTGTCAACGGCCTGCTGGCATCCTTGATCACTCTGACTAAAACAGCTACCAACATAGAAGCAAAGTCCATCATGGGGGGTCCCTTAGATACCTCATACCGTCGATACCTCCAGGAATATTTTTCTATTATTCCTGGAGGGTTGAACATCGATTTGGATAATTATTCCACAGGCTGGGAACCTCCTAGAATAATTTTGGTATCTTAACATAATTTAATAATCCAAGAAGTCACGACATCACTCTAGGAAAGCTTTGAAGCAGCGTGCAATCTTGAACAGAAACAACTTGACACACATCCAAGTCTCTCTCAAAATATTCCAGCAGTATGTGACCTCTAAAAAATGTAATACCAGTCTGCACTTTGGTAGCATTGGCCCTGCATCAAAGGTCCAAGTCGTATGTGCTGCATACTTGTAGTTTTCTTACATCTTCATCGTCTCCAACGTTACGTCATCTTGTTGCTCTAGCACTCCATTTCAAGTGCAAGCATCACCTTTCAACCCCAGGTGACGGAAATGAGGCTCCTGGCGTAAGCTTCTATTCCAAGAAGCATTGGCAACCTGGGAGTGGGTCGGAGACTTTGAGATACTCCACAATGGCAAAGGTAGTAATATATTGTTGGTTGTCTTGTGCAGCGCACGGCATTCCCAGGGCTGTAGTATTGACACTGAATAGGCTGAAGCACTGAAAGCTTGAGGCACCCACATGTTTGGACACATAGCCATGCCTCAAACATCAACAGGTACTACTCTGGGTAAATGGGCTGTGAGTCCACTCACCATGGTTGTCGAAACGACGGTACAGTACTTCACTCAATCGCCAAACGCTGAGTGTTACACTGAAGGGGCTGATATGTTGGAAACCACCCTTGGGTAGCCTCACAGGCATCGGTGCAAGTCAATTGCGACAGTTTGCTTGACTCGCAAACGGTTTTGAACAATGGAGAATTTCAAGTCAAACCAAGATTAAGTTAGATCCAGACTGCGATTGTGATTGCAGTGAGGCCAACACAGAACGAGTCGGTGTTGCCGACCGGGCGCTCGGTGACGCAGAGCGACTCTTGGATCCACCTCCTGGCCGGCCACAGCATTAATTGAAGCAATGGCGAGTCATCAGAGCGGCTCTTTTTTGAGTTGAACAAAGCAAGAGTGTCTATATGAATCTATTTATGAGTACCTGAGAAGGGGGGGCGACAGCCAGCAGCCGCCAGACGAGTGTCTCTTTTTCTGGCGGGCGTCGCGGCACCAGACACATGGTCGGCAGCTTGCGAGTCAGCGGTGCCGCGGATGCGGGGGGGGTATGTAATGGTGATGGAGGGAGCAGAGAAGCAAGGCGGGCGGCTTTGGGATAAGTTGGGTATGAAAGAAGTAGTGACAGAGAAATGCGATACGTTGTGTGTTGGTGTAGGTCATCATCACAAGGCAATGGCATGCGTTTGTCACACGCAGGAAGGTATGCATCTTATGGAAGTTGGAAGGCGACATCGGCGTTAGCGAAGGGGAAATACCGTCTGAGATCGAGTGGTGGGATACCACGCGCGCGCGCGCGCAGGAAGGCCTTCTCCATAGTCAGCATCGCTGCGCGCGCGGGCGCGCCGCGCGAGCACGGCATGCGATTGAAAAGAAGCAGTTATGCGCTTGTTACATTTGGAGCGTTTGAAGTTTGCAACGCATACTGCGGCGCGTCGAAAAAGCGGCCTTCGTTGATTTGGAAGAGTGAACGGCACGTCTTAGCCGTGACACGGACGTTTGATCCCGCGGCGCAGAAGGTAGCTTGGGCTAGCAAAGGAGTGAGGATTTGCGCGCCTATCGATGCACATGCCTGGACTTGAGTGAGTCACGTTCTGGCTCGATCCAAAACACAGTCTTTTCCTTTAAAGGTGCCTTTATTAAACGATCCAAACACCTTCTCTATTCTTCTCTTTCTTATCAACTCTGCGCCTTTCTCACTCAGAGGCCTTGACTTTGGCACCTGCGTGTGTAGAATTTTGGGCCGTGGACCCAGGCTGACTGGATTCGGCCAGGGCAGCCAGCAAAAAGGCGACGTCAGTAGTATATATTTATATATATAGAACTTTTCTATCTATCTGTCTATCTATCTGCACCGGCAGGCCGGAAAAACGTTCGGCGCGTGTGGACACCGCGAGAAGCATCCACTCGACCGAGGACATGGTGCAAGTATAGTTTTTGCTAGGGGGCAGAAACCCTATGCGGATATGTAGTCAACCTCGCAGGCATCCCCGCCGAAACTCAATCCAAGTTCATGGACTTGAACTCGTGTCACTTTCGGTTCTCTATGGATTTCGCGAGCTACGGGTTGTCCTGCGAACTCGTATCCTACACGCGGCTGCGGTCCGCTCTGTACGTGGGTCCCTGTCTCCACTCGATTGCTCAACGCCCATTGTTCAAACAGCCTCCAAAGCCGTTCATGATGCTAATGATGCACTACTCGGCGTCCATTACATCACTCGCATCACCAGATCCCATTTTTATTGCTTGTCTGACCCTCGCTTTGGAGCGCTCTTCCCCACCGAGCTCTGGGTTCACCCTATCAAACGGTCCTCCTCAGCGACCACCCCCCCCACACCACCTTAACTCACTTCGTTCGCTCTAAAAGCTCAAGCCTAGCCTATCGGCTGGCTTTCGTAATATATATATATATGTGTAACCATTTTAAACTATGTTATGTACATATATATATATACAAAAACAATATCTACATATATATATATAAATCAAAAAAATGTATATATATATATACATATATCAAACCTCACAACTCGAATGACTCCGCTAAACTGTTTGTTTCTCAAATGAAAACGTGTAGTTCCATCCAGCAGAAGCATACCTACAGTAGATTGGAATCAACAGATCCATCGTTCGTCTGCTGGTGACGGTTGTTCACACAGTTCACACTTCACACCTCCGTTTTTACAGAGTCCACGACCCTGAATGCACACACGCACGCACCACCCAAACCTTTTTTGACATTCTCGCTGCACTTACCTGGCCCTGTTCAAAGGCTGCACTTACCTGGCCCTGTTCAAAGACACTCTGGACGCGTGAGATTTTTCCTTGACACTCTTTTGCAACACTCTTGTTGTAACTTTGTCAGACGCGTGATTTCGCAGCACCATGTGCCACAGACTAGACGCAACAATGGGACACCCAGCCTCGTTGACACCACAAGTCACCGTGGTCATCAGCGACACGCCGCGTTTACACAAGCACATGGACTTCCAGGTCCCCAACGGCCAAGGAGCCACGTAAACACACACACACACACGACAGCACAGACGTAATTTCGCACGGTGGGACACAAATGCAATCATGTGCCAGATTCAGATGCAATCATGTGACACCAACCCCCATTGACGCCACAAAGCTGCGCGCTGCGCGCTCACAAGCGGCACTTTACACATGCACGACTCCCGTTCCCCTACGGCACGGGGCCACCCACATGCACCTTCCACCGAGGCCGAGCCAAGCCGCACATCGAAGTCACAGACATAGTTTCGCCACACTGCGTGCTTCTACAGTACGATGTTGACACTAGTGACGCGTCAACTCTTCAAAACGAGCATTTCGTGGGAGACTTCCTCCAAGAGTCCGCGTCAAGCCTTCAAAACGATCACGAAACGCAGAACCTGCGCAGCTAAATCATCCTTCACGCTTAAGCATGTCACGTTTCTGCCCTATTTCACACGAATCCGACGCTTCATGCTGCCATCCAAGACCTCCCCAAAAGCTTCCCCCAACGCGAGGGCCAAATGGAGAACTCCTCGCTACGCATTCGGGAATAGTTAGTACATGCGCTGGTACACCTAAACCAGAGATGGCTAAATTAAATCGTTGGCCTCTGCGCTGCGAGAGCTGCTTCATCCTGTGACTCACAGTGAGATGCACTGAAGAGCTAAAAGTCATCGGTAGAGTTCTTGCCGACTTGACCGACTAGCCACTGTCGTGGAATCAATCAACCACTTGATCTCTACTTTTTGGAGGGTACTGCACTATTGAATTGGTCAAAAGTGTGGACCTCAGCAGACCCTTGGGATCACTTCCATCAAGCACACAAAAACAAATGCCGCACATGCTCCACCTTGCCTGAAGCTGGCCTCGGAGCGTGAGAGTTGGTGGCCAATGGAGGTTCAAGGAAGCAAGACAACCAATTCCTGTGGCCTTGAGACTCGCGCTGTGCTTGCTCGAGACAAGCGATGGCATGGATGCTCCTCAGCCACTAACGAGAATTGATGTAGACTTTATTTTGCACAGCTTCGTGAGATCCAGCGGCAAGCTGTGCCAGGTGGCTCTATCTTGCAGCAGGTCCCGGGAGGAGCTGCGAGACAATGAACGAGACAATGAGCGGGAAGACCTCTCAACGCAGCAACATCAAGCTCAAGTTGATGAAGCACTTTCGCATCTTTCACGCTCGACTCTGAGAACCGTCCAGTGTCCTCTTTACTGGCACTTGCAAAGCTGCCATGAACCAAACCTCTTTGACTCACAGTATCTCATAGTATCTCATAGTCATAGTCTATCTTCACTGACTGCACAATTGCACGCCCCCAAACTGCTGGCCGTGCCTGGAGCGTCCACCAGGCAGCGGCCGGTCACCATCTCGGAAGGTTTGAGAGTAGGTGTGATGCAAAGGCCTCAAGGAGCTGTTGGCCCGAAAATCGACGGGCTCCCGAAGGTGATGATATCCTGTTTCACAAATACACATCCTGTTGGAGACCCCTTTCCCTGTGGGACTTCAAGCATTAAACGAAGTGGGGCACAGGGTCTTTCTTGGCACTGATTGCCAGCAGCTTTAGAACAAGCAAGTCACCACCTGTCTGAAAAGTCCATGGAGCAACCTGCGTACCTCGGGAGATGTTTCATTCACCCAGGTGCCAGGGCACGCAGTTTGTGAATCCCTAGCCCACAAGGCGGCGTCCGGATGTGAGGCTGCTCAACCTCTTGAGGCTTTTCTTCCCTCGAGCGCTTCCTCTTGCCCTGGAAGTGTGGAAGGAGGTTTTTACAATCTCGTTCTGGACACCTCTTTCTGTTGCAGTTCTTTTGCCTCGAGCAAACGGGAGTCACCATCCATAGTACGGCTAACTATGGCTCCCCTGTGAACTCAAGGGAGATTGGTACAAAGACCGATTGGATAGCGAGAACTGGGTGTATGTACCTGATTGTGCGTGTATGTAGTAGGTCTTGAGACAGCTAGGTTGAGTATAAATGGTGTCGCCATGTTAATGTGGAGATTTGAGTGCAGCAAACAAAAGCGACCTTAAGCAATGACTGGAAACACTCTTTGAATCAGGCTTGAAGCTGTTGATGACTGGAGCTGGGACTCCGACTCGATGCTGGTGGAGTCCTGTCGGCCTCTTGCCTTTCAGACAGGGAAATCCTGCACTTTACGCAGAAGTAATGATAGGAGAAAGGGAGAGTTGGCCATCCGCAAGTCATCACAAATACTTGAGAATTACCAAGAGCATAAAACTATTGAAACAGTTTCAGCACCGGCAACTCAGCCTTCTGGTCTGACAAGTCGACGCTTGCACCACGCCTTAAGCGACATCAACATTCACTGCCGACACATCGTGCACTGTTGAAATGTAAGAACTATCTTAGGAGTCACGAAACCATTCAAGTCAACGGTCACTCAGTAGCAAGGTGGCCAAGGACTGGTACCTCAATTGCTTCGACGGTGTCCTGACAAACGAAACGACTACAATGATGGAACCTTGTGCTCATCGCTCCAAACTGGACGGGGTCTCCCCGCTTGGTCCCGAAATCCAACTTGTGAGACCAAAGTGACAAAAAGAAAGAACGATTCTCCTGCTGGTGGGCGAGCCCAACGTACTTTTGGAGGACTGAGGACCTCAGTGTAAGTGGGAAGTATGAAACAAGGCATAGCTGCTAGTGACTAGTGGCTTAATGAATCCTTTCATGAAGGAACCTGCAAGGTCCTACGTACCAGAGTCTCAACAAGAAAAGAAATGCTGGGGCTTCTTGGTCTTGCTGGTATTCAATCTACTCTGTCCTGGAAGCTTTTGGAAACCCTCTTGGTAAGGCAAATGCTGAAGGGCGGCGGAGCACGCCTTTGAAAGATGTTGCTCAGAATCAATTGTAGCAAGGGGTACAAATGTAAGAATGTGCAACAAGTTGAAATGGTTGGAGAAACAGACTCTGCCTTTCCTTGCGTTCCAAGCAAATGCTTGATTCAATCTCAATGTCTGATCAATAACAAAACAACATCATTAGACTGGTAACTTTCGCTAATGCTGCACCTTACTCAGCTGTTCTCTTATAGATACTGTATGCATCTGTATAATGTATAGCATTTTCGTGGCAGTCGGTCCAATACACGTTTTCTTCCGGTGGCTGCCTCCTGCCGCTGCTCTGTCTGCCCTGGCAGAAGTTACAAAGAACTTGCGCCATGCAACCCTACACATTGCACAAAAGACCTTTCTGAAGGATGCTCTAGGTTGTAGCAGGATGTATCATTAAGCATATCAGCACAGCATGTTGTGCTCACACAACCTGAACAATAGATAGTTGATTGTCGCGCCTGCACACTTCCACTTCGAAAGCGACTTGAGCTGGATGAGCGCGGAGTGATTGGATCCTCCACTAGAGGAGCAGTGGCTGCAAGGTAAAGACACTTGCATCAATCAGTCAAAAAATTAGGCAATTTGGATATTATCCACTGTAAAAATGGGACTCTGGCTCAAGAAGCTGCCACAGCAAATCGTGCGACTAGCAATGTCTCTTATATGTCTCCTTACGGAAACTTACAACCACAAAGAACCTGCACCGTTGAAGTATGATGCAATTCGTGCTCTGCGCCGCGCGAGGCAGGACTTCAGTGCTCCATGCAATCTCCTGCAGCGTCGGTTGTAGCACCGAGATGGGCACTTCGCCCGGCAGTGGCGCAACCCAAGTCACCGGAGCCGGGACTGAGCAAACCGTATAGTAAAGGCCTCAAGGGCGTGATGAGTCGGCGTATTGTTTGAGAAAAAACTTCACAAACGATGGCCTCCAACCTACTAGCGATGGCCTCGAACCTAATAGCGATGGCCTCCAACCTAATAGAGATGGCCTCCAACGTAATAGCGATGGCTTCCAACCTACTAGCGATGGCCTCCACCTTACTAGCGATGGCCTTCAACCTACTAGCGATGGCCTCCAACCCCCAACCTACTAGCAAAGGCCTCCAACCTAGAAGCGATGGCCTCCAGCCTAGAAGCGATGGCCTCCACCCTACTAGCGATGGCCTCCAACCCCCAACCTACTAGCGATGGCCTCCAGCCTAGAAGCGATGGCCTCCAGTCTAGAAGCGATGGCCTCCAACCTACTAGCGATGGCTTTTCCTTGATGAGAGGGGCCCCTCCTAGCTCAGGTGGCAGGGAAGGGGCGGCGTGTCAGGTACCGGAAACAAGCGAGCTAAGCACATGCATGAACTCAGATGGTGATGTCCAGGAAGTAGTCAAGCGACCGCTCTGCAGGCACGGGCCAACCTGGTGCCCTGCTTCAACCTCTTCTGCAGGGAGTTGAACGAGCCCTGCGGAACACTCCAAGAAAAGGCAGCCTCATCCGTACCGAAAGGAAAGTCAAACTCCGGCCACCAGCCATATGCCATCGAGCGTGGTTTCTTACGAAAGGTCGTTTCGACGATGTTGCAGACCTGTTGCTGGGCAGGAAAGCAAGGTCTCTGAGACCAACCAAAGACGCACAAACCAGCACCCATGCGATACATGGAACACACTCGAGCACTACGGACGTAGGTCGGGATAACTGCTCTATCACACAAGGAAATGGTCTGAGTGACCAGATGTGCAAATTGGGTGGCACTTTCATTCCATGTGTAGCAGAAGGCTTTGGCCGTTGTATTGCACCTTGCCCAAGCAAAAGAACTGTCACCCTTCACGCCTTTCCTTCTAACCGGAACAAAGCTGCGAGCAAAGAACATGAAGCTAAGCAGAAGTTCCATCCATGAGACACCCACTTTGGCATCCTCGACGGCATCCGGCGTAAGTCCCCACTGAAGGGAATGAAGCCAGTCTAACACGCACTTCAACAAGCTGGTCCCCCAATAGCTATACGAGAAGAAAGCCTCTTGCTGAGCTTCCTCAAGCGAAAAGCCCCATGGATGGGGAACAGACCAAGTTGAAAACTTTTGGGCCATGAGACTGGCTCGCTGCTGGGGGTGCGGTTCATCAGGATGAATTGAGGACGGCACAGTTGATTTAAACTCCCGACGATACTTCTGCAAGGCTAAGGACAGGCGGTAAAATTCCGCAAGTTGTCGAATCTCTTCTTTACGATCATGAATGGATTGAGTCCAATCTTGTGTCAAGACAGGCAGTTGAACTGTACACACCTCAACTGCAGCTCGATCTGCGAGGGAATTACCCAAACAATGATAGCACTCAAGATCCGACAAGTTATGCAAATCAGCATGACCTTTAATTTTTTCAACCCGATTGTAGATCACATTAGGAAGATTCTGAATCCTTCGACCTAATGCAGGCTGGGCATGCCCGTGAAACTGAGAACCAATGGCAGTCAGAGAGGACTGGAAAGTGGCAATGGCACTGGAGGAGTCCACATGTATTATTGCATGGCGAAAAAGCTCTTGTGCCCGAATCAGACTGCGGAGCTCCGCATGGTGAATGTCTTGACTCTGTGGACAAAGCTCTTGGAGTATCACATGCAAAGACGTGGGCCAAGCACCCGTTTCTTTATACCTCTGTGCGTGCCAAATACGCTCTAAATCAGAACGACAGGAATCAATTACCACACTATATCCTGCAAATCGCAAGGTCGGCATGGTGGGATATTGACAGCTACCATCTGTGTAGACATGCAAGGGGTTGCGATCATCCACACACTGCATCAGGTTCTGAAGCAGTTCTGGAGGCGGTTGCCCTTCCTGCAAATTATACTGGAAAGTAAGTCGAAACTCATCTTTTACATCCTCAAACAGAACAGGTAATTCAGGCCAAAGACAATCAAAGGAGTCAAGCTGAGAAAGGAGCTCTTGAAAAGGCTCACGCACAGCGCAGGTTGCTGTGCAGCTGAAGAACCGATGGTATTTGGTGTCCGGTTGACCGCACCATTGACACTCCGGAGTAACCTGGGAGTCCCAAATGGCCTGCTGCACCCGAGTTTGGAAGGCTCCTGCAATTTCACGAACCAGTAGACGACGGTCCTCTGGTGAAAACAAGGCCAGAGTCTGACGAGTCAAATGCTGATCTACATTAGGGAAATTGGCCAGGGAGGCTCGGTGCGAGTGCAGAGTCAAAAGACGATCCTGCCATGATCTTTCAGCAAACATGACAAGTGTCTTCCAGGGGCACCACAGCAAATGAATGCGTATGAATGCAGACACTTGGAGAGTACCTGAAGCATCAATTGTCCAACCCAGGCGCGAGATGTAGCTCTTAAAAGTTGTGGCAGGACCCTTACTAGTGTTAGCCCTGGGGAAATACTTGGCTGCAATGCCTAGGAATTGGTTCACCACTACCTCGTTCTGGCGAAACAAGAAACGGCGAGCTGCAGCACAGGCATTTAGAATGATTTGAAGTTCGGGGTCCCTGACAAACTTGGAGGCACAAAGTGTGACGAGGGCAGCACACATGCTTTCAGAGGGACCAACCAAAGCCTCGGCCACATGGTGTCGAAGTGAGCGAGTATGGGCCATACCCAAAGGACACAATTCCGCACCATGAAAAGCAACAGGATACACACTCGCTGAAATGACTTTTGCCTTAGTATCTAAGTCAGTTGCGTGTTGCTTTAATCTTGCTAACCGGTCCTTAGCTTTAGCCAGACGAGAGTGCAATTTGCAAAGACGAACGGCTCCTTGGTAGCGCAAGGGACAACCAAGGTCAGAGGCAGCGAGAGCTCGTTCAACTGCTGGCAGTAACCTGCTTTGAAAGATCCCTTGGACATGACGGGCCAAATGATGATGCGAGGACCACCACCAGGTTTTAGACCAATCAATCTGCAGACCGATTATACGGGTCCAGAGGAGGGTAACTTCAAGGATGGCTCCAAGTTCTTCGATGTGCTTGACAGCCCAGGACCAGTTATCTGCATAAGCCGAAAGCAACGTGGAATCACTAGAGTGCTGTCGGCATGCCAGGGTCCAGCACTGTGCCACTCCGAGCATCACAAGAACTGAGAAAACATCCCCTTCAGGGAAGCCACACGAACTTGCAACGGTTTCCGAACACTGACCACAAACTTCCCACCTGCGAGTCATCCGATGCAAAGATTGAGCCCACATGTTAAGAATCGTCGGAGGCATGCCGAGTTTCGAAAGTATAGCTATACCCCTCGGACGGTTAATCGCGTTAAAGCATTTTACCAAGTCCAAGGTGACCCCTGCACACGATTCCTGCTGGAAGTGAGCTTGCTCGAAAAACCACTGGGTATGGTATGCAGCGAGAAAAGCACCTCTCCCCGGGAGAAGGCCAGTAATATCATGTGTCATCGCCTGTCCTAAGCAACGAAGGGCTTGGCGGCACACAACCTGGGCCCAAACACGATAAATCTGGGACAGCACTGTGATCGGTCGAATGCGGCTCGGTACTGGGACACCGTCTCCCTTGGGAGCTGCAAAGACTTTAGCGGCCATGAACCAAGACGGAAAGCCATCCTGATAGCTGTTCACCACCTTGATCAATGAGACAATCAGAGAGGTGGGAAGAGACTGCAATTCAAAGGCCGTAATCCCGTCGGGACCAGGGGCCGCATTCCATTTAAGGGATTTAATCACCTGCAGCCAAGTGTCAAGGCACATACAATCAATCGAAAGCTCAGTTGGCGGTAGTCTCTCCAAGAAGTCACCAAATGCCTGCTCCATATCTGGAGTCATCAAGTGGGAGTCATCCCGTTCCCACAAAGGTTGCCAAAATTGGGTCAGGTGGTGACAAATCTGAGCCGGATTGGTGGTCAGGACCATCTGCCGGACGGAGACCTCTTCGAGATGACGAGGAGTCTGAGAGCATGACACGATGATGGAATGAGCTCTCACTTCCTGCAGCCACCCTGCAGCTTCATCGAGAAAAACTGGTTGGACAATCTGGAATTGTGAAGGGGATTCAACAAAGGCTTCGAAGTGTTCCGCCTGCTTATAACGAAGGCGGCCAGACAACGGAACGCAGATGGCAGTTTGCTCAATCTCCTTCTCAATTGACTCTAAAGTCGGGGTAGACCCACGGACCGAGGCAAAGGTCATCTTATTATGGCCGATCTGAGCATCAAGCTTTTGACGAAAAAGCAGTTTATCCTTATAAATTCGAGCATCCATCGAAATGGCTTGGTCCACTTCATGTTTCCATAATTGTTCCACATCGAACAACCACTCGGGCGGTGGGAGATGAGCTGGCACCCAGCCTAGTTCCGGTATACTCTGAATCCAAAAGACAAAAGGCTTATGTCGAAAATGAAAGCGCAAGATCTTGGACCATTCAGCGGCCAGACCTGTAGGCCTCTGTGGCTTAGTGAGCTTACGACGAAGCGACTGAATTCTACGAAACTGCTTGATTAAACCCGCCGTGAACACCTTATGGATTTCTTGGCTTGGCTCGAAATCCCCATGCCGGGCCTTGGGGACAAGATCAGTGACCAAAATGGTCTTCGGACGGCCAGGTTTACATCTCCCCCGAAAAGAAGCAGGCAAGCGTCTCGGCAAGTTGGCACCCACTGGAGTCTTGCGCAAAGCAACATCAACCGTCAGTTCAACCCTGGAACCCCATTCCTCGAGAGTGTGTGGCTCTTCCAGACCCTGCAGATCCTGGGAGGCAGCCTCCAAGGTTTTGGCAGGCAAAGCAAACGAAGTGAAAGCCTTAGGTCTTGGCCAAATTTGCTTGAGCCAAGGTCCCTCAGAGATGTTCAATCGAAAAGTAACCACCTTGTGTGCATCAAAGAGTGAATCAGGCAGAACCGAAATAGCAGTCAGCCGTGATGCCAA